ATCAACTTAAGAATCAAACGTCAAATGTTGTTGTGTCGAAAGCAAATTCTGTGGCTGGATGCGATGAGCTGAAGACCAAGCTCAGTTGTGTCAGTAACTCAGGAGAGGTCTGTCAGGAGAGGTCCAGGTCCAGCAAGGACAGAAACGGGTTTATTTATGATTTAGTATCAAACAATACTTGACTAACGATGCTTAACTATTACTAGAGCGCCTTGTAAAAAACTGTTAGCAAACTGTTTCTGTTATACGTCATGTAGTAAATTGATAAGGCGGTATTACTTACACTCACAGACGATATTCTTTGTGTTAGTGTTTTAAGATGACATTAATAAGGGATATTTTAAGCCCTACCTAAACAAGACTACAGTAAACACAAGTATATTTGATAGCTTAGAATAAGGTATTGTATTTTTAGCGATCAGAAGAGGATTTCATTTAAAAAAAAATATTGTAAGTACCTACTTACATATTACTAGATTATGCAAATACAATTTCTAATTAAACTTATCAACCGATGTTTATTTAAATAGGAACAAAATAACGATAACTCAATATGAAAAAGATAGCATTGATAATTTAGATAATTAATATGAAAATTAAAAGTCTCACAGAACTTGATCGATTTTCCCGCTCTGAATGACAGCTGACAAAATGGCCAAACGCGGGTTGTCCCGCGCTTTTTATAGAATGTTCAAGATGGAGTGTTGGTCATCCCTAACAGTATACATTCCAGAAGATTTCGAAAAGTCTACTATTGATACCATTTAAAAAATATCGTTGGAATTAATTTAAATGTACTGTTCTTTGCTACAAGAATACAAGGTGCCTCTAAGCAGTGTAAGCATCATTAGACCTAGACTTTACTAAGAATAAATACGACTATTGAATTTTATTGCAGATGGCGCTTGTCTCGTTTAATAGTAGTTCTTATAATTTGTGTAGATTTTGTGGAGCATAGTATTCAACACAGTTATATGTTCTGTGGTATTCAATACCTTAGTTCTCATGATCATCTGCTGATTTCTACATTTTGCTGCTGTATTTAGGCCTCTTCATCACATCACGTATGAATAGTATTTGGTTAAGATCTAAAAACAAGATATAATTCAAAACAATATTACATATATTTTTAAATGTTGCCCTACACCAGGATTTTTTACTGTGTCGTGGGTGCGTTTATAAACATACAATTTCACATACACGTGACACTCAGACCCGGATCAACAATCTGTGGATCACACAAAGAGTTGTTCCGTGCGGGAATCGAACCCGCAACACGTTACGTGGCAGCCAGTTATCCAGCCACCGCGGCCACCGTGCAGTCAAAATAAACATACTTAGTTTACATACAGTAATTTCCATTAGTATATGTACTTCTTTTTTGTTGACATATTATGGAGAAGTAAAATTAGGCTGTGGCATTCATTACGTGTTGAGTAGCAACTTTACTTCGGTTTATTTTTATTCCATCGTGACTTTGGCAACGGTACAGTGCGGTTAAGGTTATTAAAAGCGAGGAAGTAATGAGGCTGCTTTAGTTTTTAAATGCGGAAATCATTGGGTCAAGTTCGTCCATCAATATTAAGTACTCAGAGAAACTTAGTTCCATTAATTTAAAGTAAGGGCAAATCAATTTAAATTCAAGGTCATTTAATGTATTTCACTTGTCCGCCGGTCTGTATTCTAACACAGGTCTAGGCTCGAGTAGTCACAAAGTGTAAAATATAAAAAGAAAGGGAACGAGAAAGTCCAGTTCTAATATACAATGACCTATGAGACAGGCTTGGTCAACCGTATTGGAGAAAATAGCCGTGTATACATAGACAAACCCCAGCATATCAAACTACTATACACGCTTCAATTGCATTCAATCGATTTTCAACCTAATCATAGCAGAACACAGTTGCAATTGTTTCAATAATATCTGGTACAATGGTGCAGGGTGATGTGCATTTTCTATACATAAATTCATCATAGCTCTCAGAAATAGCCTTCCATATCGTTTCTCCTTCCTCAATTAGTCTCACTTGCATATTCCTAGCGACCGTTGCTACAACAAGACAAGCATATACCACTGAATAATTCGGAATCCTTTATCCGGAGTCAGCGTCGCATACTGACCCTAGCAAGACTCCGCGTCGGTTCACACGACCCCATTATCTATTCGGTCCACGTGGTCGTGTTTCATGAGTTAATACCTTCAGTCGTGCCCCCTCTCAGAGGACTCGACGTGGTCGATTAAGTTAATCGGGTCGCCTCTCTGTGGTCAGCCTTTGCGTATCCTTGCTAATAGCTAATAAATCTGTTATGCTCCTACTACATTCGACTTCTCAGCTCTCAGTGAGATGTCCTAAAAATAGTCCATTTGATATGATTTATTCAGAATATTCCCTTTAGTCAGGATCTTCATGAATATTTTGGTTGGTTCTTCGAATGTGTCTGATTGAAATTCTGTTTATTTTATGTTCTTGGAACTCGTGGTTGAAATGCGATGTTTAACAGTATTATTGAATAAAAATGTACATTATTATTATTATGTGGGTTATTACTATTTATTTTTATGTCCGATAAAAATAAAGATAGTTATTTGCATTCCTGATATCACATAAATGTAAATTTTGTTAATCCTTCAAATTTAAATGTTTTTATAAAACACGGAAATAAAAAAAATGCAGTTATAAATTTAGAAGTACTAAATTCAAAACACCTGTATGATATGACATAACCCGACACAAGAGTCTCATACAAACACCTAATTACACACACTGACCGATGCAACGTACCCAAGTAATCGCAAGTTTCGTAACCATTACGCGAATGCTTCCGTCCTCGACAGCGGCGCTATTGACATTGTGACGGAACAACTTTCTCTGCCGACTGTACGATATAGATTGTACGCCTGGACTGGCTTGCACTGCCTCCGCCATATTTAATTATATAAGGTTATTCACTTGTTCATTATTATATGTTGCGGATGCAAAATGTGAAGAGGTTTTAAACGTTAGAATGGTTTTTGAAGTATTGTTGAGTAACTGAATGGTTTGTTGCGTATGTATGACGGAAGGAGTTTGTGTGACGAGATTTTCCTGATCTAATTGTCATCGAAATTCATTCACGATTTATGTTAGGTGTCTTGACTATCACTGTTATTGCAACTGTAACAAAATGTCACATAACATATGTTATATGCAAGGAGAGAATAAAATAAAAGTTAATACTAGTAATAACAGGTTTAGTGTAAGAAGACTATAAAAAATTTTACTATCTGTATATATTATCTATTCGTGGGAGACAGTATTGATAAAAAATGAAAAAAAAAGAATATATAGTCGTATTCTATCATCCTTAGTGCCTTGTGAAGGTCAGGTGGTCCCTATAGGATATTGATCTTGAGCCAAAACCTATTAAGTTCGACATTGACAGCAACCCCTTTGGGAAAGAAATTATTGACGCTATTACTTGAATACCATAGATGCATAGAATAGGTAGACTAGAGTATTCAATGCACGATAGAATTTATGGGTAAGACCATTAGCTTTGGAAGATGTATGTGCTGGTCTAGTAGATATCTATGTTGATATTGTATTGACATGTTATATCTTCTGGGTCTTCGTTCTCAAGATTTCCAAAGAACCATTTAGTATTCAAAACATATTAATTCGTAACGACCAGCAATTACAACAATGGACAAAAAATTGCCGCTTGCAAAAGTAGCAGACACTATTAAATTGCAATTAGGTAAATGTCTTAGACAATACTTAGAATAATAAAGTCTTAAATGGTCATTACTAAAACTAGAATATTATGGTATTGCGAAATATGCCTTAACTATGCAGTGAAAAGGCTCACGCATTTTATTTAAGCTTGAATTGCGTAATAATTATTCTCTAGAGAGATATAACGTTACATACGTTATAATAACATAAGTTTAATGTTTTTAAAGAAAAACTTGTCTAAAATTATTATAAGCACTGAAATGTTTTGAGTTTTTCTGCATCAGAACAGAAGTAACTCAACTTTGTTCATCCTCTTTCTTAACTATTACATCTTATTCCACGTAGTCATAATTATATCATCCTTCATTCTGCTTTTTAATATCATCCATCTCATAGCCCAATTTTGTATTCATTTCCTTAAAATTGAAAAACATAGGTTTTGTAAATGGTATGGAGTGTAGATAAAATTACATAATAATAATCGCTCAATATAGAACATATCACATAACAGATACATAATATTATGTAGATCAGCAAAAAGTAATACAACATCTAATCGTTGCTACTAGATGCATTCATTAGGCAGCCGTGGAGGATGTAACGTAATAATCCGGAACAGAACGGCCTCCTACGCAGCATTATACTATCGCAATGTTTTGGATTAGCAACCAAATTGTATGCGGTAAAGGAAAAGGTGTCTATTTAATTAATTGAGCATGTTAGGATGTGTATCCTATGTTCTTGGTGCAAAGTTAACTTCCTTAGAATATATCTAATATTCTAATAAGAATAAAGTTACATTTCAATATTGTTTCTCGTTATAGAACAAGATGTTTTCTCGATTCTCCTTAGGATTTTGTAATGTCTATGCATCTTAGTGTTATTATTAACCTGTAAAGGTTAAATGATTTAAAAAACTTAAATATGAAAAATGTTGCATAAAGTTTCAAATAAAAAAGTAATGTTTTTGGCAATATCAACTGTTTCAACATATTTTTCGAGAGAATCTGTTTCAGATCCGAAACTATTATAAATTGTCCCTAGATCATATATTTAATTACTATTTAGGGTTTTAAATAATAATTTTAAGTATAAATTACATATCATTACTATCTTTAACTATCACCCCTTACATCGTGTAAAGGTCAATGTGTTCCCCTAGGACCTATTTTAGGTCCAACACAAATTGATGTGGTATTTTGTAATCATAATTAGCATTTAATGTGCAGGCTGCTACTTTAACTTGTGACTATTGAAGCGAGTGTCGTAACCATTGGGTGGTGGTAGCCAACGTCCTCAGTGCAGTGCCCACTGTCGGACGGAACTAGTGTTGTGAAGTGAATGGTGTACGCTGAATTTTATTCTGCGGTAGGTTGGAGCAATTCAATTTTTTCTTGGTTTCTTTTTCCTTATGTACATAATTTTGTGTGTGCCGCTACGGTTTTAAAGGAATATAACGTGTGGTTTTAAGTGATTTGAGTAATAGTGATATTTTTGTGATTTAGTTCTATAAAGTAATTGGTTATTTTGTGTGCCAACATTTTTGTTTTGACCTAGCTGCTTTAACGGGTAACGTTTTTTATATGGGTTAGTGATGAGTTTATAATTGTTTTGCTATATTTAACGGATCTATCTACTTAGTTTAAAATTCTATAAGTACGTACATACATAGCATTCCATTAAAATATATCCAAAGTTTTATTAAATGCCATATTCTCTCGGGTACAATCAGTCACAGCCTGTCGCCATATCCATTCGTATATATAAACCAATAATTTTGAATCATTGAACAAAACCGATATGTTAACCAATGTACCACAAAATAATTAGCTAGGCATAATTACGCTGGGCATTGCATTCAATTTAAACCCACAACATATACATTTCATTGAAAGAGACGAATTTATTAATCGTTCAAATGACATTTTAATTAATGATGGAATTAGTGAAATGAGTAATGGTAAATTGGCATGCGTCTATGGACCTAGTTAAACTAATGGAGACAATAGGGACTTGAGGGGACTTGTATGATGATATATTAGGTAATATGAATGGAAAATAAATTGCTGAACAAATTATTAATAACATTATTTAAGACAGTCAAAAGGCATTGCAAAATAATTTTTGGATAAACTTATACCTGTCAATGATCATTGTGTGCTGTATTTAAGTATATTTTAGCCCTGGGTTTACTACAGTGGATTATTCTACTATATTTTTTACGTTAGCGCCAACATTATTATGTCATTACCGATGTTGGACCTGAATGTCTTTTTACCAAATTCTTGTGAATTTTCTATGTACTTGTATTTGATATCTCTTCCCTCTTGGATACAGGCGAAATGTATATAGAAATAAATAACCACATAAAAGGGAAAAGAACCGATACATAGTATTAAAGCCTTGACCTAAAATGATTTGGACAGTATCCTTTTATCAAAAGGATTACGCCAAAGGATTCGTCCATATACGGTCAGTGAGCTACTGTATTATAGGTTTGTCTGATTTGACAGACCCTTCTCGAAAATTCTATAAGATTTTCGGGATTGCTTACTATCATTACTCATCAATTTAGCTAGATATATTCGAGTCTTTTCGATATCAATTTTGTTATACCACACTGTACCTACGCAATAACATTTTGCTAGTAATCCCTTGATTGAGCGGTTACTTTAATTTGTAGTGCTTAGATTTTAAGGGAAAACGAAGTTATATCTTTCGAAGAAAAGTATTTGACGACGATTTACTTGTGTTTTTTATGATTAATGTGGATGGAAATTAAATTACGTTTAGGTTATTGTGTATACATAATTGTTCTGTGTTAGGTTCGTTGTAATACACCTGATATAAACACTAACAGATTAGCGTAAGTCAGTAGTCGATAGTTTTGTTCAGCAATGCAACACGATACACACACATATTTTAACACGGTGTCAGTTCAGTACTTAAACATTTAACAGATACATTTAAAGTAACGCCACATAGTTACAAAATATAAAAGGTCAGACAATTTTACACATATTGAGCAAGCGGCGTGCGGTTATGACCTCTATTTAGAAAAAAAGAAGGTTCTTTTTCGTGTCATTAGAAACAATGATGTGTAAAGGTACAAACCATCGGTTGTTTAAGTAAAATCCATTGAATGGAAACAAAAGTTGTCTATTCAATTGTTTTTATTTTTCTAACGGTACGTGGTTGCATTCATGGGTAATTAGTAATGGCCTTCTAGATAATTAGAAAACTGTTACATACTTTATTTAAATTAGACTGATTTTAGACCTTTGTTGGTTGTCATATCGAGAAACTTTTTTCTTTCTTTCTTTATCGTTTCTTATATCCTTATTGAGGCTTGTCTCCAGAGGTAGAGGAAAGAGAATTGTCAGACTTACTGACGAAAATCCACTGAGTATCCTTTTTCCTACGTTTGAATGTATGAGGACGTGAGATTTCGGATTTTGCCGCAGCACGTACGAAACTCGTTTGACCTCTGTCCGAGTAAGATGTTTAGATTTTGCAGTGACATGATTATCGGTAGTAGTACGACAACTGAATTTGAATCCGATTTTCGTTCATCTCAGATTGTAAAATGGCCCAAATTGGGTCAAATGTATACGCATATATAGCGTATATCACTTGCCTTTACAAGAACTAATTGTTCAAGCATTATTTATTAATGTAAATACTTTGGTAGGGGTAGGTATACATAATATAATTCTATGCATAATGGCAATGGCGGTTAGCAATAGACTGGTCCCCTTATTACAATGGGATTATTAATTGATGAATAGTGGCTGTAATAGAGGTACACCTTTGGGAAAGGTACTGTTATGTTCTGGTAAAACAGCCGTGCAAAGTGCGATACAATCTTTCGATATGATCGTTGTAGTTTACATGCTGATGTCGATCAAACAAATTTATATTTGAAATATAATGGTATTTAAAAGAATAACGATTCTATTACAAACTAAAAAAGACTGACTTCAATGCCCTCTTTTTTGAAGTCGTATACTAAAACCTATTTCTTCTGAGTGTAACAAACACTTTTCTATAAACCGCATTAAAATCGGTTCAGTCAGTCGCGAGATAATTGTACACAAACATACAAACATACAAGTGAAATTGACAACAGTTTTTTTTTCTTTTGGAGTTCGGTTAAATGGATTGATAAATTGGTAACGTTTGACAAATTATGTCAAAGTTTAATTAAGCCGTAGCTTGATATACCTTGGTTTGATTCACTTTAATCGTTTAGTGTTTTGCTATTTGCATAAGGGCCAATTTTTCCACGCCAAATAAATTTTAACTGAGTAATAACTTTGAACGTTTCACAATTCTTCCATAATATTAAGAATTAACTGATGATTGATAAATCAACTCTATAGGGATTGATGCTGCCTAATGTTAGGTTAAGCTATGAAGTAATTGAATAAAATCACAATGATACTAGGTAGCTTTACTTTTTACAACTGTCCTAGTAAACAAAATCATCTGTTTGTAGCAAACTATCTGTATTCTTAGCCACAAAGTTCCTCAACTATCTAGTATTACTTCTCAAAGTAATTACGACGGCACTAACCACATATAATAATGAATTATTCAGAGGAATAATATTCTTGTAGATGTTTTCGGCAATATCAACAGTATTCCTCGATATGTTCCCTGACAGACGTAAGTTGAACCCGTCACCCTCAATAATCATGATATGACCTTGGTTCTTGTGTTATTTCTTTTTATTTAGTTAGTTGTAGTAAACTATGTTATAGTGTTTGGTTGCTTGCTGTTGGTTTTAGTGTTTGGTCGTGTGATTCCAATTCTTTTTTTTTATAGTATTTATATTAATGAAGTAGTGTCGAAATTGTATGAGTGGTACGGGCAGATCCTACTGTCTTTAAGACTAATGACGCACACATGTAAACGCTGAGTGGTGTTATGGTTTGTAAACATCTTTTCACCGCTTTTGGGATTATGATTCTGCGAACGATAATGTAGAACACAATCATGTTAGATTTCAATTCCAGTCACTGCTAGATCAACCATTTGGCATGTATCGGTATTCGGCCATAATTACCGGAAAACTAACCACATTAATAACATATATACGTGAACGAACTTGTGAATATTACTCATTCGGAACCGGGAAAGTGAGCCCATCAGTTATGTAGCAAACCATTGCTGATTGACACACATATCGTAACTTCAAGCTAGTGTTGAGACATCATTGGACGATAAACATCATCGAAGTGACTATTGAAGTAGATTGCATTGCGTTTTGCAATTTGGTGCAATGTGAACAAAATGTTTAGAATTGGAGGCTATTTGCATAACCTCTTCGAAGTTACTTTTGAAGTAAACTGATTAACGCTATCGTCTGTATCCTTGGATTATTTCATTTATACAATAGTATATTATAAGTGTAAATATCGAGATTCTATTATTCAATTTCAAAATTGGCAAACGCACATTCTTCTATACAATATAGATAAGATTGTGTTTTAAGCTCTGCTGAGTTATTTATTATGGGTTTTAATTAAATGTTATATTGTACGCAGTTAGTGCAAAGGTTGCTAGTTCAGAAATTCCGTAAGCGTACCTCAACTAAAATTTTACCTCCACTTATTTTCTTTGACTATACCATATATAATTTCACATCAAAGTTACAATTTTAGATATGCAATAAAAAATTATTCAACGAAAAATCTTTTCTGTTAAATTACAAGATTCATCCAAAATTTGAATAAAAAGCCCTATAAATAAAATTACCACACAGATTGAGTGTCTACTTACAATATTTATGACCATTAGACGTATCACATCTTAACCTTCTTACCTCACAGCTCCCACAAATCTCAACCTTATCTCGTTGTGATAAGGCGCTAATAAACTACATTTAGCACAGTTGTACATCACGCAATATAAATCCTCTTCGCCAATTCTGTGACATGGACACGTACTCATTGAGAAGCTTACCTCGAGAGGCAACGTAACGACTATAATTGTACGCACGCGAACCATTGACGCGTCTCTTTGAATGGGCGATAAAAAGTCTGGTTTAAGTGAGCATTGGATGGTGTTGTTTATTGATGTTCTTGTTGGAATATTCTCACGCGATACAGTCGATGCTACGCCTTTCACTTTCGATACAGAGATTACTTGTCACGCATTCGTTTTTATGTCAACAACGTAATGTAGGGTTTAAGACAATGGTTGTTAGGGGGGCAAAGTTCAACGAATCGTTACTATGATTATGGAAATGTTATTTATGTGTTTTTGTTTTCGTTTTCTTTGCTATGTCTGTGGTTAAGAGACGAGTAAACCTAAGAGAGTCTAAATAAAGATATTTTCTGTGTCACTTAGCCTAATGTTTTCGT